TCTTTAATATATTGTGGTGCTAAGCCATTTAGTGATTTATAAACTAACAGTATTTTAAAGTCTATTCTTTGAACTTCAGGAGCCAGTGTAGGGATTTTAAAATTGGTGTTATGTGCTCTGTCTTCCTGGTTTTAGTCAGAACATCAGCAGCAGCGTTCTGGATCAGCTGCAGCTGTTTGATTGATTTATTAGTCAGACCTGTGAAGATGCTGTTGCAGTAATCAATGCGGCTAAAGATAAATGCATGGATGAGTTTCTCTAGATTGTGCTGAGACATTAGACATTAACCCTAATCCTGGAGATGTTCTTCAGGTGATAGAAGGCCGACTTTGTGACTGTCTTAATGTGGCTCTGAAGGTTCAGGTCAGAGTCCATCACTACTCCTAGGTTTCGGGCCTGATCGCTGGTTTTCAGTTGTAATAACTGAAGCTGTGCATTGATTCTAGTTCGCTCCTTTTTAGATCCAAAGATAATAACTTCAGTTTTGTTTCTGTTCAGCTGGAGAAAGTTTTGGCACATCCACACATTTATCTGTTTTCAGCATCTGTTCAGTGATTGGATGGGTTCAGAGTCACCTGGTGACATCATGATGCAGAGCTGTGTATCATCCGCGTAGTTATTGTAGCTGATTGTATTTCCTGTTATAACCTGAGCCAGTGGGAGCATATAAATATTAAATAAGAGGGGTCTTAGGATTGAACTTTGGGGTACCCCACATGTGACCTTTGACCTCTTTCATGACAAGTTTCCAATTTAAACAAAGAAATCCCTGTTCTTTATTTAAGTTTTAAGCCAGTTGAGCACTGGACCGGAGAGTCCGACCCAACTCTCCAGTCGATTCAGTAATATGTCATGATCGGCAGTGTCAAAAGCTGCACTGAGGTCCAACAGAACCAGCACTGTGTTATTTTTTAATTGAAATGTTACATGAAAGTTTGTTTGTGTATTTATATTAAAGTAAACATTTGTTTACTCTGCCTCCCGAAAATAAGCCAATGCCACCCTTACTTAGCTCCACTGGAGCTGTGGCTGTATCAAATACATTTTCACTCTTGCTTGAGTACATTTTTTTTGGCTGCTCTATGTACCTCTGATATTAACACACCACACTTGGCAGGAATATCTCATAAGATAAAAAAATGTAGTGTAGGGAATATCTCATAAGATAAAAAAATGTAGTGTAGGGAATATCTCATAAGATGCTGATAATCGCCTCCAATAATCAACGCGTCTAGGTCAAAAAGTCAGCGTAATTATTTTTTTTCATTTGAACCAGACATAAACTGAAACGCACAAAGAGTAAAATGTGAGAATACACAAAGAAACTAGATCCAACAGGATGAACTGGAAATATAAAACCTTATCTGAAATAAATAAGCCAGTAAATGTTTATAACACAAACACAGAGGAAAAGCCAAATCCCAAACTGCCCAGAATTGTGACATTAGCAGTACCAGCAGTAGACAATCTTACATTATGTTGTTGGTTTTCCCTCACACACTGAAAACTTATACAGGAAGAACCTGTTTAAAGCAACTCTACCTATTCTGCTAAGTAAGTGATAAAATATAAGTGTGGTCAAAATCCAACTTGCTAAGGAATAAACTTATTCAATTATAATGGGGGTGTATGTCATTTGACCCCATTTGGATTAAAAAATATCCACCAAAATGTTTCCATCTAACTTTAGTTTTTATTTTTTTAGTTGAAGTTTTTTGTTGTACAATCATAATGCCATAGATTTAGAATAAGTTACGGTAATTGAATCTTAGGTCTCAAATCAATAAACTTTTGCCATTCATGTCCATGGCAAAAGTTTGTCAATTTCTGACCAGAACTGAATGATACATGTTTATTTTCTGTTTTTGTGAGCTGCTTGTTTACTAATGCTTTTATGAACCCATCCAGGAAAAGGACAAGTGCACTCCATCCTTGCTTTCATGCAAGTGTTTTTGTTCATGTTGGTAACCATTACTTGTGATGTTCAGAGTACACTTTAAGATTGTTGCTGGTTTTCCGGGCAATGATTGATTTTTTCATCTTCTATTTCTGAGCTATTCAGTCATTACTCAGTAATTTATCATTAGAGCACTGTCTTCAGTGTCCTTCTCTTTTAAAAACTAAAATAAGCATGCAGTGGTTGGTTCACTGCATGTTTATTTCATATATTTAATGGATTTTTAAATTTTTTTTTTTGCAATTTAAGGTAAAATACTTTAGAACTCTGTTTTCTATTCAAACTGCTTTCCTGTCTTTTCCTGTAATGTGTCAACACTGCCTTCTTGTGTTGCAGTTTGTCCTGAAGTCACCATCCAGAACGGCATCGTTAAAGGTGAGACTGACTGTCTTCACAAAACATTTCATATAAGACAAGAGATATTCACCCAGCTCATGCCAATAAAAGTTCTGCAGAGTATTGTGGTTTTATTTATTGGTTCAGGTTTTAACATGATGGAAGTGTTTGGTCTGACGCGGAAAGCTCACTCATCAGTGGAGGGAGTGGCAGCCGAGCCCTTTGTCTTCAACAATCTGCCTGCCTACACCGTGTACAGAGATGTGCAACTGACACAGAGCACCAAGTGAGACTTTCTGATTTCACATTTCAGTTCAAAAGCACACTTTCTACTGTGTCTTCTTTTATGCATGTATTCTCAGCAGAAATTATTACAGAATATGTTTTCTGCTGTTTGACCATGGAGTAATTTCTACTTTGTGTTTATGTAATAATTTAATGATTTTTTTTTTACTTATTGGTATTGGTGTATTCACTGCTTAATGTGTTTGTGGTCAACCCTCTTCAGGTGTTTTGCAGAACTAGTTGTATTTTACCAAAGAAGTCTAATGTCAAGAAAAAGAAATTATTTCCTTCTTCTGTCATGACAGTGTGCTTTGGCCCTCCTTTTTTTTCCAGGTTTATTCACCCTGCAGGTTTCTCTCCAGAGCACACCATCAGCATCACTTTTCGCCTGCTGCAGGATACACCAAAGGAAGCCTTTGCTCTCTGGCAGCTCACTGACAATGACTTCCAGCCAAAGATGGGAGTTGTGATTGACCGTGAGTAATGCTTCTGCAGCTATTCATTCAGTGACACCTCTAAGTAGTTGAGGCAGGGGGGCATCATGTCCAGCCTTGGATGATATTATGATGTCTTCACTTTGTCAGGCAGGTCCTATTTAAGTGATGTCTTTGTGTTGCAATAGTAAGGCTAGAGACTGTAAAGTCTGGTGCAATAAACCACAGTAATGATATCTTTTATGGGGGTCAAACACTTTTTCACACAGGGCATGTGGCTTTGATTAATATTTAAGTTGGTCTTTATGTCCTGAAACCCTGAAGTGTGACCAACATGCTAAAAAGTAGAAAGTCAGGAAGGAGGCAAACACCTTTTCACGGTACTATATTTCTAAGTGAGATCTATTTTAAGGCCACACCTGAAACATGCTGCTTTCTCTTGTTTCACACCATGGGAAAGTCAAAAGAAATCAGTCAAGATATCAAGAAGAGAATTGTGGAGCTGCACAAGTCTGGTTTGTCCTTGGGAACAATGTATTGATGCTTATGTTCATGTGTTTAAACAATTGGATGAAAGTAGACATGTTGTGAATGTTCAACTATACCATTCAGGAAGGAGATGGATTCTGTGTCTCAGGGATCAATGTGTGTGTGAGATGTATCATTATATTTTTTCTGCTGTCTATTCATTAATGCTTTAATAAAAGCATCCAGGAAAAAACTAGTGTACTCCAGGATAGCATACTTGCTTTCATGCCAGCAGTATTTTTGTTCCTTGCTCTTGAAATCCATTAAGAAGCTCTACTTGCCAAAGTTTTGAGGCAAACAAAACACTCTATATGAGTTATTTTAGAAAGTCCCAGCCTGATGTACCACCTTAAAGCTTTCACTGACCCCTTCTGGCCACTCGTATGAAACTCTTCTGTGGGTGCCACCACCACAGGAACCCTTCCATTATTTCCATAGAGTCGCACTTTTGAATGTCAGCAGGTGTATATGCCTTTGTCTATCTGAAGCCAGGCCACACCGCTGCTGATAAGGGAGGACAACTGGCCCCTCTAATAAAAAAAATTATGGTCAAGAGTTTTTAATTTTCCAAAATAGGGCTCCTGTTTGTAAAGAAAAATATAGGCCTCATATTTAGGTTACAAGTAACCATTTCTGTTTTTCCATCCTAACTGTCCTCACAGTCGTAAGGAAAAACACAAAAAATACTTTGGCTGCTGACAAACTTCTGACTTCGTGGTCATTAAGCCGCTCTAGCTCAGTAAGAAATTCTCTGTATGCCACAGGCAGAGGAGTTGCTCTCCAACTCAAGTCCTCGAAATCTACTGACCTGCAACTTTTAGATTCATCAACACAGTTTAATAAAATGATTGAATTACCTTTCCATCCTGCAACCAGGTATGTCAAAGGCCTGGCAAAGCCAGTCATTTGATTCAGGTATGTTAGAGCAGGAGTGTATCAAAAAGCCACAGTACAGAATCTCTAGGACCCTGGTTCTTAAGGCTCACTGCCCTGAATGCTTTATTTGTTTTCTTGCTTCAGCATAGGTGATTTCAATTGACAGGTGCTTGCTGAACTGCAATCAGCTGCAGGGAAACGTCTAAACATGCAGGTCAGTGTGCCTTGAGGACCATAATTACAATAGTCCTCAAGACACACTCGTCTGCATGGTTCAACACACCCAATTCAGATGATTGCAATTCAGCTGCTTGAAACATTTTGGTGCAATAGTCTGGTTTGTTTGGAGAGATGCTAGAGAGAGATTCCATGCCAATGCCAAACAGCTCATTCTTCTATTAGCTCTTGTTTTTTTTGTCATTTATTGCAATAAATAATTAAAGTTTCATTAAACCAGACCTATTGGTCGAACTGGGGAGATGGGAGGTTATGTGCTGCTTCATCAGCCTCTTCACATCATAGGAGCGAGTGCTACGGGTCGATAATCATTCAGACTGGTTACTGTGGACCTTTTTGGCAATAGTATGACAATGACCTACTTGAAACATTTTGGTACAATAGCCTGGTTTGGAGAGATGCTTTAAATGTCTGTCAGGACAGAGGCTAATTGGTCCTTGAGTATTTTCTCTAGGATGTTGTCTAATCCTATTCGTGTTCCTTTCTGTCTTGGTTCTGTAGCCATCGGCTCTTTAAAGTTGTAGGCCTGCTCATCCAGTCTTGGCACTGTTTTCAATGTTAGGTTGTTGTTCAGTACCGCAAACCTGCCCTGTCAAGGTCATTTAGGGAGTCAGTGTCATCCTTGCTGGAAGCTTGGTCCCCCTGCCCCCCATTGTTTGCAATCACCTGGATGCCGCCACACATTGCTCGTGGTGTTCAGGTTGTGGAAAAAAACTCTTGGATTTTGCTTTGGCTTCCTTATGCCATGACGTTGTCTGAAATTCCTTTTAACACACATGACAGATACTCATCCACATTGAAGCTCTGGTCATATGTAGCCGCTTCTCTGTCCATATCCCAGGTTGTGCATTCAAAACAATCTCATTGAGCCTCCCCAGCACCGTCAGCCCACACTCTCACCTGTTTCACAGAGGGCCTCTCTCTGATCACCATGACAATCAGAGGAGCCTAGATGGGGACATTGTACTGCTCGATAGGCCTTTCAGATCAAGAGCATTTGTTCCTCTGGTTTGAATGCACACGTTAATGGAAATATGGGAAGAGAGTTTTCATTTTAGTCTGACTAAAGACCGGCCACTATGAAAACCTCCTCAGGATGAGTGCTTTTTAGGTTGCTGATGGAACAGCAGAGACTATTTACAGCCTTTTGAGGGTTAGCATTCAAGGATAAGGGGAGTTGTGTTGAACAATGCGAAGAACATCACATCTATATCTGCCTGCAGTGGTTTACTGGGAAACAAAAATGATTTTTTGAGCTTTACATTGTGTTATAATGTTATTCCCTTATCAAAAACATACCTGGATTGTTGCTTTGATTCTTTCATTGATGTTTGAGAAATCCTTTAATGTCCCAATGCAACCACTCAGCTGTGCAAAACGCCTCAGTGGACACCTCCTCCCCCCCAAGCCCTGTTGATTGTGCAATGAAATGCAACTACGTGCCTGGAAGTGGAAAATACATAATACAGTGATCCCTCGTTTTTCACGGGGGTTGCGTTCCGAAACTAACCCTCGATAAGCGAAATCCGCGAAGTAGAGTTACCTTTATTTTTTACAATTATTATGCAGCATAATTAAATACTCTACATTGAAACCAAAGAACAAAACCTGTTTTCAGGTCAGCAGATGTGCGTGTGCATCAATCAGGCCTTAATGTGATCCGGAGTCAGGTCATTTAAGGGTCTCCTCCAACCTGCCCGAGATTCACAGCTGTATCTGCGGCAGAACGATGGATCTCGTCAAGCGAGCCTCCAGTCAGGTTTTGTGCTGATTCTGGCCAGTGTTTTCCAACAGGCATTCAAAGTTTCAGTTTTCATCTCCTGAATGGCCAATCTGTATTACTTATATTTAAATACCATAACGTTATTAGCACACAGGCAGAGAAGAACCGCAGAGTCTGTTTAGCCAATCAGGACTCAGAACACAATGCACTGTGAAAAAAACTGCACAAAAAAAAAATCTGCGAAGCAGCGAGACTGTGAAAGGTGAACCGCATTATAGTGAGGGATCACTGTACTGCCTCCTTAATATATTGCTTTTAGTAAACTGTGGAATATTTTGTTGCGTTGAAAGTTTTTCACCATTATTTGTGCTGGATTTTGTACACCTGGTACCATGGAAGTTATTGTATATTTCAGTGTTTTATCTATTAAATGCGTGCCTATAAAGCTTAAAGAAGAAGTTGTCCTGTTTTTTAAACTTAGCACTTTGCTCTAAGTGTTCTCAAACTTAAACTGGGGTTTCAGCTACACTCTATAGCTATTCCCCACACTGCCAGATCAGACCGCATCGCCAACATGAAATTAAGTCAGTCTCTCTTTTCTTCTCTTTTTTTTAAACCGGGATTCTCACAGCAACTTTTTAAAAATGTCTTTTTAGAACAACACAATAAGCTTTTTAAAGATGAAAAGATGACTGTTTTGCATCTTTTACAGCTTCTAGCCAACATCTGATGTACTTCAGTCTGGACTACAGGGGAGAAGTGCAGGAGCTCACCTTTGATCAGCCACAGGTCCACAAGATTTTCTATGGAAGTTTTCACAAGGTGAGATAAGATCCACCAAACTCTTTAAGGTAGAATCAATATTTGCTTTTATAAGATGGAGCAAATAAGATGGATCCTTTTTGCAGCTAGCTATTTCACAGACAAGAGACAGATGTGTATCAAACACACTGAGAAGTAATGGTCTGTATGTAGCTCCAGCTACAAATGCTTATGTTCCCTATTTGAATAGACAAAAAGCCTATTTTTTTGTATTTATTTTTTTCCATAAATTTCACTTGATGACCAAATAAGTTTTGTATAAACTAAACTAAGTCTCTACAAAAAAAAGTAGGGGTGCATCAATGAATTGGTGCCAGTTTTCTTAATTTTGGGTGATTGGTGATCAGTTGATATTTAAATGTGAAACCAATTTTACCCTCTGATTTTATTTACCTCCGCAAAGGTCTGAAAATCAGCTGCTGTCCCCTTTTGCTTTGCTGTGAGAGAGGGCTGACTGATGGACCTGTTCACCAGGTCACATCTGCATGTGCTCAGTTAATAATAAGTCACTTTTGCCAATTTAGTAACTTTGTTGCTACATTTATCAACTTTTCAGACAAAAAAAGTAATTGGTACAAGCAAGAATCAGAATCGGCAGGTCAGGCTTTCTAAAGATCGGTGATCAGCCAGTAAACTGCAATTGGTGCGTCTCTAATTTGCCATCATCATTAACAGTGTTTGTGTTTTAATTTGGTTCTGGCAGGTTCACCTGTCTGTCAGCCAGGTGAGCGTCTCCCTGTCTGTGGACTGTCAGCCTGTTGGTGAAAGGCCAGCTCGCCCTCTGGGAAACCTGCCCACCGATGGATTCGAGATGCTGGGAAAACTGGTGAAAACCAGAGGACCTAAAAGCGGCTCAGCCCCGGTGCTTATCCTTCCTCTCTGGGATTAAATCGGTTGATCCTTCAAATAAAATAATGGTGCTTACAATGTTTGTTTGTTTTTTTCTCTTTAATATCTCCAGTTCCAGCTACAGTCCTTTGAAATCATCTGTAACAACACATGGGCTTCATTGGATACTTGTTGTGACCTGCCTGGAGTGGTCAGTGGTACTGCCATCTTTAGCCAGCTGTTTTTTTTCTTTTCTTTTCTCTTCTCTTCTTTTCTTTTCTTTTCTTTTTCATTTTGGTGCCTGTCGGGACTCCATATGACGACAGACTGAAATGTTAATTATGTGCTGTATGCGAGGTATTTGTACTTAAGCAACACATTTCCCCTCTTGGGGGGCACACTTCACCAGTTAACCTAAAGCCTTTGCTGACTGTGTCTCAGAGGGATGAGGAGAGCTGCCCTGCTCCACCGTACGCATGTACCTGTTCCTCCAACGTTCAAGGAGCTCCAGGACCCCCTGGACCAATTGTATGTCACCACATACATATTTTTAAAATTTCTCTGTAATATTTTATGATAAAATCAGCACCAAGGCATGTTTCCAAAGATTATTACAATGTTAATGTTCCATTTATTTATTTTTTTTCACAGGGGAAACCAGGTCCTCGAGGGGACAAAGGTGATAAGGGAGAACAGGGCTCAAAGGTAAGATGAAAATGATCATTCTTCACATTTAAAGTAGGCAGTGGTTGTAGCAACTAGTTTTCTTTCTTCCTCTCTTCTGGTTTGCTATCTGCTAATGGACAATAGTCCTCTAATGACCAGAAATGTTTGTTTGTGAGTGAAGTTTCATGGACGTATTAATGTGGCAACAGTAAGAAGAGCCCTTCAAATTCTCTAACTGTGGAGAAAGTGAACTTCAAGTCTTCCTTATATTAAAGTTCTATATTACAGTCTTAATTTCCATATGAGTTACTGAAAATAATGGTGATGTCCTGATGAGGTCCTCTTGTCCAGTCTGACGCTGATCTGATGGTGTTCAAAGTAATTTGAGAATAAGCATTTGCCGTGTCCTGTACATAATTAAAATTATTACCATGTAATTAAACTGAAATATGTCCTTTAATCAGAACTGCTATACATTATTATCACAATTATGTCCTAATTATCTCACTCACCATTCTAGGCCCTCCACTCTTTCTGATTTGTTGTTGTTGTCGCCTGCAGACATTTGATCCAAATCAGTCAACTTCAGTGTGCTGCTCCGGAAAGGCAATAACTCTGTTTAGAAAGTTTCTGTGATGTCGTGACAACACATCGTCTGAAACATCCATAGCTTTATTATAAGTTTTTAAACTCATACAGCTACAGTCTTGAATCAGCTGATGTTATTAGCTGATATGTTAATATCAGTGTGTTTTCTCTCTGCTCTATGATTTTCCCAAATTATAAGTGAAATAATCTGCCAATGGAACTAGTACTTTTTTCATCAATATTAAGAAATTATAGACTTGAAAAACAACTCCTTTATATTGCTGAGCAGTTACTTGTAAGGTAGTTTTGTATCATTTCAAGTGTACTAAGATATTTGCAGTAGGAACTAAACCAAAAATACTTTCAGATTTTGTTTCTGCAGTGTTTGGTTGTATATGTTATGCAAATGGAGAAGTATTAGGGCTGACGATGGCATGTAGCTGAAACATGTATTTTTTGCCTTTATTAAAACCTATGAATATTTTGGAGAGCTGGTTGTATCTATTTTTTTTACATGTTCTAAAAAGTTTCAATTTTAGCGCTGCTGACCTTTTTTACAGCTTAGTACATGTGTGATTGGAATCAGTTGTCTGTGGCATCTACTTAGAAATTTCATCGTCTTCCTTTATACCGATAACTGGTCCAAGGTTGGTCACAAAGAACGTAGAGTAAGAGGTAATCTGGTTTTTATGCTGTAGTGACATCTAATGGCTTAAATTGGCAATTGCATGACAATTTATCATTGTGTTTATTTTGTCAGTTTTGGGGAGGAAAAAAAGGAAAATCTAAACTCATATGTGAAAATTTTGTTATGCTTACTCTGTCAGGGAGAGGTGGGCCCCCCAGGGAAGGCTGGATTTGAGGGGGGTCTTGGACCTGTGGGCAGCATTGGACCCCGAGGCCTAACAGTTCAAGGCAAAATTGTGAGTCATAGCTTGACATTTTCTCTCTTAGAATGTGATATATATATTCCTGTGTTTTCAACCATTTGTGTTGATCAGGGTCCACCAGGAGCAAGGGGAGAAAAAGGAGATCCTGGCAGACCAGGAGTGCAGGTGAGTTGAAATCAAATGATGGGAATCTGTCTCTTCATTCTTTAACTGTCACATAACAATAATATCTTCATTCATAGTGTTCACAAATGCTACATAGACTCGATAACATAACACACTTGAAGTTCCCTATTCAACCTTCTTGTCTGTTTTTTCCTGTAGGGTTCACCTGGACCTCCAGGTCCAAAGGGAGAAGAGGGGATCCCAGGCCCCAGGGTGAGCTGCTTGATCCCAGAGAAAGGCAACAGGTCCTCTTCCAGCAGATATTTCTCTCAGTCCTCCTTTCTTGCTTTCTGTTTTCCAGGGTATCAGAGGTGTGGAGGGAAACATTGGTTCCCCGGGCATTACGGGAACCAGGGTAAGAATATCTTTGTGTGCATTTCTAACAGCCTGAGCTGAGCAAATCGCCTACAGGAACATTTTGTTTTGCTGAAATCAAAACCACTTTCCACCTTCCTGGCTTCCTGGCCAGGACAGTTTGTTCTACTGTCTGGATGCCCATACAGACAAACCGTCATTCTGTTCTGTTTCCGCCTGATATTTGATGGTGTTTCCATTAAACGTTTTCTGTGCTTCAGGGTTTCCAAGGACTTCCAGGATACCCAGGACCTGTTGGAGAGAGGGGTCCCTCTGGACCTGTTGGACCAACGGTAAGAACTCAAGAACAAACACACTTCACTTTTGGTTATCTACCAGTTCACACTCATGTATGTTTAACTCCACAGGGTCTGCCGGGAAATAAAGGGGAACGAGGTGAAAAGGTGGGTAACAGGGCAAACTATATATTTACCACCACTCTGAGTTTATGCTTAAAGAAACATGCTGTTACATCCAGTACACCTTCAACCAGGGAAGTCCAATATGATTCTTTGTGAGGGGTGCCTTCGAAGAAGACCAGGTAACATGATGGAAAAATCCTCTAAATAAGGGTATAACCCAATCAACAACAGGGTTAAATACATTTTTGTCTTCTGATATTTGTCTTTCAATAAATATTTCAATACACCATTGTGTTTTTATATACATGTGTCCAGCATTCCAGAGTTTTATGTGTGAAAGCATTTCTGTTATTGCAGTATAAGATTTTCTTTGGCGTTTTAAAATATCTTTTTTTAATTATGGCTGGATTGGTTGGTTGATTGGTTGATTGATTTCTTAAAGCTAACTGGCTCATATTTTTCAGGGGGAACCGCAGTCTATGGCCATGATCTATCAGCTGGTGACACAGGCCTGTGAACAACTAGTTCACAGTAAGTACCAGGAGTGATAAAACCAACACTTATGAGTTGTTTGTGTTTTCTAAGTCACTGCAACATAATGTATGTCTACAACAGGCTTTGATGTCTTTTTTTTTTCAGAGGAGGTTTTGAAGCTTGACATGTACATCAATGAGATTAGTCGAAAGCCCGTTCCTATTGAGGAGCCGGTGGGGCCCCCAGGAGAGCCTGGTATACCAGGGTCCAGGGGCCCACCTGGTGCCAGGGGCAACCAGGGGAATGTTGGCTCAAGAGGGAGACCTGGGAGGCCAGGGTATCCAGGAGAGCAAGGTAAGGTTTGATCTGTTAGATGTGTCGTCAGAGCCATCAAGACATTCTGTTCAATTGTTTCTTTTTTCTCTGCAGGTCGGAGAGGAATCCCTGGAGAAAAAGGAAGTTTGGGGAATAATGTCCAGGGGCCCTCAGGAATTAAAGGGTTGGCAGGTACCTCTCCTTGACCTGTGTGTTCCATTTATTACTCCACTGTTTAACACACCATCAGGTGTGATTAGGATATGTGACGGTCGTGCATTTTGTGTGTGTAGGTCCTCCAGGGGAGTCCAAGCCAGGGGTCCCAGGTCCAAAAGGAAACGACGGCAAACCAGGGCCACCAGGGACCACTGGGAGTTTGGGTCAGCCAGGAGAGATTGGACCACGGGGCATATGTGACAGCAGTGGAGGCTGTCGAAATATTCCCCAACAAACAGGTTAGCTGTTAAGAGTGGCCAAATGATGAAACTAAGCCTGGGAAATGACATTTGTGAGAGTTCAGGTCTGTTTGAGCCAAATTATCCTGGAGCAGGATCAGATTTGTTTTTTAACTCTGTCTAATTTCTAATTCAGTATTTTTATTATTATTATTTTTTATATATATTCTCCTTCTTTATACTTTCTTTATCCAGAAGACCCTTATTACGGCTACCAACCCTGAGAAGAGAAAGCAAGCAGTCACCAATAAAATGACTCTCCTTTAGAGCTGAGCAGAAGCACGCTTACCAGTCACCCTGTTCCAGTCTCCATTTTGTTTGAAATCTCCAGAAAAATGAACCTAAGATGAATCAGAGAGCTTTCCAGTATAAACCAGAATAACTGTCTATAATAAAGAAATCTCAGTTGGATCACTTGAGTGCCATATTATACAGTTTAGCACTGAAAGCTTTTCTTTATGTTTTCATGTATTCATGCACTGCCTAAAGTAGCAAGTTAAGCCTTTGAAATTATTTTTTGTTTTCATTGTAAGCCTTGTTGCCTCTAAGATAATTTAAAATCCATATTTTGTGGTATGAAAGGTTCTTTTTTTACACTATATATAAATAATACTGTGAGACTGCATTTATATATGTATGATAATTTGTATATGTTTTGTAGTATTTGCTGCATCTTTTTTTAATTCATGTAAATTTTATGTGTTCTGAATTTCACCTGGAAGCCCCTGTTTACATTTTCTGATGTCTTAAGTTTGGCAAATTATATGATTGAGAGAACAAAAGTGTTTAAATATAAAATAAAATCTTTGAATTATTGTCAAAAGGTATTATGTTCAGATAAAAATGGCATTCGATAGATACCGCATAGATTGTTGGTGTGAATTTGTACCACTGATGAAGAACGGAACTTCTCAAGCAAGATCCAGGTAGGAACAAGTTATTAGGGATTTTGTTTCCACTGTTGCTTACTTTGAAATGTACAACCGGAAACTGTAACAAACAATTTTCACAATATTGTGTATTCCCTATGCGCACACAGATGGGAGGATCAGTTTACCACTCAAGACTTATTAGACTGAGTTTAAGCCATCATTGAAAAGTTTCTTAACAAAAATGAAATCAAAAGCAACTTCAGTCTCAAAACAGTCAAAGACGCTTTTAAAACAACTCCCATAGAGAGAGAAGTTAAAAAGTATTAAATTTATTTTGAAGTCTACAAACAGGAAACTAGGTAGCGGGTTGTAGTTTTGCGCTTGCGCAGAAGGATTACTCTATTGTCACGTCCGTATTCCTGTCTATGTCACGTCGACATGGCGAGTAGAAAGTCTTTACAGGCGAACAGAGCGAACGGAGACAAGTACTCTGTTCTGTTACCGACATACAACGAGAGAGAAAACCTTCCTCTGATTGTTTGGCTCTTGGTGAAATATTTCGGGGAAAGGTGAGTTGGTTTTATTCCTAATCTGCTCGGCTACTGCTAACTGCTGCTGCCAGCGCTGAGCTGTCACTTAACCCGAGTTAACAAGTGGGTCAGTGCTGAAATTGAGGTGGAATATGGACTATGGATTTTCTGAGATGTTAAAACTTTTTTAAAGCAGTTAGTGATGTGAAAACTTTTACAGTGTTTATTTTTGTGTAAGTTAAAAAAGGGCGACTTCTCTGTGTCTTTTGTATTGAATACCTGTACTGTTCTACAATGAGGTGTCTTCATTTACAGACCATAAGCGATATTGTAATTTATGTACGTTTAAACACGAGTTGCAGTGTAATTTGGCTTTTGGTAAAGATGAACTGGTAACGGTCTTCCTGGTTGAGTCAGATTTTTTTTATATATTTCTTTTTCAATTTTCTGATTGTTTTTCTTTGAGCGCTCACCTGTCATGTCCAGTTGTGATATATTCTATTCTGTTTTTTCTGTTTAACTCTTAAGTCTGTAAACACATAAAATAGAAAAGTTCATTGGAGCTGAGAGAC